AAAAAACAAGCAAAAAACACAAAAATCTCTGCCTAGAAATATACGAATTAGAAAATGTTATGTATATAATATATAATATAGAAATTAGAAAAATAAAATAAGAAAATCCATAGCCTAATTTTTAGTTTTTTCACATACCCTTCATCTACGGACCTATTATCTCCCAACCTCCATCCCAGTTTTATCCACAAACTTAAAGTATCAGGGACTAGAAAAATCTGTGACCGTTTGGATGCCACGCCCCATCAGGGCGCAAGGCCTATTCGAAGCTCGAAAACCAGAAAAGCGGGCGGGACCTTGGAAGTTTATGACGGTGGAAGGAGAGATCGCGGAACTCGTGTTCGGGCAGTTGTGGTTCTCGGTGGGAAGCCAATCCTGGGGACCGGTAGTGGAACGCTTTCGAGCTGTTTCCGGCCACCTCAGCGGGAAGAGGAGACGCAAGCAGCTGGATCTTCGGGAACTGAGATAGGGGTATAACTGTTGCCGGGGCGGAGAAAGTGAGGACCGACGCCGGAGGTCGCCCAGGACAATATTGGGTCCCTGTAGCTTGTGAAGATGGTGTTGCTAACGATGATCGCCCGAGTGGCGGACGGGCTCCCGCTGGCTGCCTCGATGCAGGAGGACGAACAGGTGAGCTGCTACTAGATCCCCGCGACCCCAAGTCCATGACGGCGCGCTTTGTTCTCTCAGCACCGGCTTCCTTCCTAGGACGCAGGAGACCCTTGTGATCTCTCAGGCACTCCCGACCCCTCCGAAGTGCTCTTTTATCTTTTAGTGGTGGAGAGATTACCTGTGAGAGGAAATCTTTCCTGAAGGCAGAGGTAGATTTTTGTATTACCTGTTTCTCTTTAGAAAAACGCTCTGGAAAATGGATAGGTTCGGCTGATTGTGATACCCCAGTGTTCTGTGACTCATTAGGGACTTGGTTAAAATTCAGGACTTCTAATTTTCTTCAGCTAATGAGGCTACTAACTGACAAATCCTGGGAAAAATCGGCTCCTAAGTTCTCCAACTGCTTTTACTGTAGCTTCTGATCCTTGACCCACCTTGCTGATATCTTTTGAAAGTGGGTGAAGTAACATTGCCACTTACAAGCACTTGTTAAAGTTCAGTACAGCACCTTCTTTCAAGGTTATGCCCAAATCCCACCTCCAATAGGCCTTACCAAATTCCCCTAATGCATTGTATCTTATTTTATTATTTTTCTTTGTCTTTCCATAAATTGTTTACTGGCAGGTAAACCATGGGTCTTAATTATCTTTGTGTTTTCCACAAGTGTTTACAACAGCAATTTATGCTAGTATGAGGTGCTCAAAATGTATTGAATTGATTAAAAACAACCATTACAGATATCTTACGAGGAAGCTGCTTTGTGTTTTAGAATCACAATGCAAATTTCTGGTGTGAGACAAGTTTCTGGAGCAAGCTTAGGAGGTCCCTGAAAACAGGAGAATGGAATTTATATTACTTATTTAAAGTGATCATTTTTATTTTACTTTCTCATACAACTTACGTAGTTCCCTCCCCCCCCCCTTTTTTTTAAATCTTGAGGCTTAAAAAAGATGAGTTCTAGAAAAAAATATTTTGCACATTTCTTCCCTTGGACTCTTCATTCATATATTCATGAAATAAAGAATCTTATTGAGCACATCAAATATGACAGGCCTGGTGTTAATGCAGGGGGTAACAGGACAGTCTCTACCTTCATGGAGCTTACAGTCTAGTCAGATAACTAACAAACAGTTATAATGTAGTATAACTGGTATGGAAGAGGAAGAGGATTCTGTGATTGAACATGAAAAAGGTATCTAAGTTGGTTTGGGGAGAGCAGGAATCCTCCCAGAAGAAATGACATCTAAGCTGACAATAGGATCTAGTAGTAAGGAGCTCTTTAATACCATTATATGCCTTTTGAGATTTGATTCAGAAATATGTTTACTTTCACTTTTGGGAGAGTGGTGATATAGATGATAAAGTTGCAGGTCATGCTAAGTGAAATATATTCTATTCATTTCACAAAACAAAATCTAATCATTGAAATAAA